AGTGAAAAATTAATATTCAATCCTTGGTAAGAGAAAATTAAGGAGAAGCTAGTTTACAATTTTTTTCCCTTCTTCTCCTTAAGTTTTTATCTCATGTATATTTTTTTCCCAACTGTATCATATCTTTTTTTCTTTTTTCTTTTATCTTTTATTAAATATAAACAAATTGTGTATATCATTGATGGTCAAACTCAACCATTGATGGTGGATCATCGATGAGGACATTAAAAAGGGGACTGCAATTTATTGTTTTACTTTTTACCCTCTTTTACTGATTTCCTCTCCAGTCTATCTCTTTTTTCTTTGATTCTCTTGAGTTTTTATGATATCTAGGGAGTTTTTTAAAGTTTTTCTTTGTTGTATTGAGATTAATTCTTGTTTAAATAATCATCAAGGTAATTTTTAAATCCTAATCTTTATTTTTGATTAATGTTTAAGGATTTGTGCATATTTTTTGGTGGAGTTCATTGAGTATGAATGATATCTAGTTAGAATCACTATTTAGAGCTAAAATGATTGAGAATTTTGCATATGTTTGGACATTTTTGGGATGAAATTGGCGGTTTTTGTTCATCAACAATCAATGGTATGCAAGAAATTATCGATGGTCAGAGAGCAGAACTATTTATTTTTAACATTTTATCATGATGTTTTTAATTTTTTTTTTATTCTAAGCCTTGTATATGTGTGTTCTCTATATTAAATCAAGTTTATTTCCTATTGTAGAGAATGTCAAGGTCAAAACATACTCGAGGTAATCAGTTTTCCTTGATAATCATATAAGAGAAGTATGAGAAACTTCTTAATGTTTTCGAGAGAGGAATTAATGCACATCATCTCGAAGAGTATGTGAACATCATGGGGATACTTGATAGAGCATGTCTAAGCTCTATGATGGATATAGGGGTCAAGAGAGTGAACGTTACTCTTGTGAGAGAATTTTATATGAACTTCAATAGAGAACTGGGGAAGGAGATTGCTACCACCAAAGTGAAAGGAAATGAGATTAAGATTACACAAGCCTATATCAGAAGTTCCTGAATCTCGTTGAGGCTCCTATGTATAGCAAGGATGTATTTACATATTCTACAAGTTTAGTTGTGGGTTTTGAGAGCTACAACACGATAATGGACTATTCTTGTGGGAGGACACATCCGGATATCTTCGACACAAGACATCTCAAGCCTGAGTTCATTCTCCTCAACCACTTTCTCAAGTTTAATTTGTATCCTGGTGCAGCTTACACTACTCTTAACCTCTAGGATATGGTCTTGATGTATTAGCTAGCAAGGGGTAAGTCTTTTGATATTGTGTTGCTGATTTTTAGTTGAATGTGTATGGTTACAACTACTACTAAGGAGGTGGTTGAGAAGAAGACTCGGCAAAAGATCGACTCAGATCGTATATCCCTTCTTTATTACTCAAATTTGTCAAGACCAAAGGATTACTTTCACTCTTCTTACTAATATGAGAAAGGAAGAGCTTCACTTTCTACTAAGACTGTGAGAAAAAGATTATGAGTGAAGGGGGAGGGAGAGACCACTACTTGGCAATTACTTTTGATCTCAGCCATCTGCTTCATAGGCCCTAGGTTCCTCTCATTCTACTCAGTGGACTCTGCATCTCTTGTAGACACCTGTGCATGGTGATTACTACGTAAAAGTAGCACATCCCACAAGAGCTCCTCACCCGTCCACTTCACATAGAGCTAATAGCAGAGATGATCAGGATGAGAATATGTATGGAGATGATAGAGATGATGAGTACATCATCGAGAAATTTGTTGTTTTAAGGAGTTGGAGGTAGTATTTTTTTCCTACTTTTTTCTTTTTTAGAATTTTTTGGACATGTATATGCCTTTGAAGCTTGAGATACTTGGTCTGTACTAACTTATTATCTGCACTCTGGTTGATGATATTGCATGCTCACTTTCATATTGCATGTACATTTTTTATTGTTTTATTTCTTTCTCTTTTTCTTTTTAGGATTATTTTTTAGATTTTTTCTTTTTTATTTTTATCATAAACAAAATAAAAATTTTGTTTTTTTTCCTTTAAAAAAAAACCTTTTGACTAGCCTACGCATATATTTTTACAAGATTGATGCAAATAATATTATCTTTTTGGTATATAGGCTTGATTGTGTCACACATGTTCACATATGGTTTTTCAATATATTTAATCAAAATAAGATGATTACATAACACATTGTTTACACGAGATATTTCACGTAACAATTTCACACACATATTTCTATACTTGTCATGTTTTGTGATGTGAAATAGTTATAAAGAGTCTTATATTTTATTTATAGATATTTTTAGTTATATCAAGTATTTTTTACTAGGCTAATAATGCACAATTGTTTATCTTTATATGTACAAAAGTGCATTTATTTAAAGTATCAATCAAACAATAAGAGTGTATTCATTAAAAAATGATCAAAGATCCACGCTCATAAAATCCATGAAAATTTAAGTGTATGTGTTAAAATATGGTCAAAGACTCACACTCATAGTTTTGTGTATGTGCATATCTCAAAGGGTAGTCATCCTGTACTGAATATATTTTATATTTAGAGATGATGTGAATCGTCTGCCAAACAATTTCTTTATTCCTCCTAAACTCTATATGATTAAGGTGATAGGGCAATAGCTTGGCCCTTAGTGTCAGTGATAGTTCAAATCTATTTATTGCTCAATATTCATTTTGATATACCTGAATTTATCCAATGAACTAGTATAAGTCTTTTCACTATATGTTTTTCACACTTTACACAAATATTTAATCTTTTCTGTGCACTTTTTGACGTGTTTTCTCTTATATTAATGTATTTCATCATTAAATTTTGATCTCTTGTACTATTTTTGTATAAATTTTTATGTGAACCGGTATGCTTTTCTCTAACGTACACCTTTTGGATGATTTTTATCTGAATTTCTTTTGTATGAAGTATATCCATTGGTGTGTTTTCTAACTTTTGTTAATAACAAAAGGGAGAGAATTTTGTAAATTTTTATGATTTTGTGCATGGGTGAGTTTTTGTCTGAGTATTTTCATGTTTTGATCTTTTTTTTTAAATATTTGATGCATTGTTTTAAGGGGAGTGTTTACAATACATGTGCTTTGATTACACTTTTCATGAATGTATGAATATAGGGGGAGCTTTGCATATTATTTATTTTTTGTATGAGTGTGTATTTGTGCTTATTATTGTTGTTTATATTTCTCAATTTACATGTATTTTGATATTTTAAAATTTAAGTTTGTTATTATCAAAAGAGGGAGATTGTTAGGATGTAATGTGTATAATTGCTCTTGTTTAAGTAATAACAAATTCTTATTTTGTACCAATATTTATTTGAGATGATATAGTACAGGTAAATACATATATAAGAAGTATACGAGGAGAAACGATACTGAAATCAACTCAAAGCTAATTTCAACCTCCTCACCATCAATGGTAAGCATCCACCATTGATGGTAGGTTGAGCTCATCGAAGGTCAATGTCTGGCATCAATGATTTCTTCTCTAGAGACTTTTATATCGTCGATGGGCCTCCCAACCATCGATGGGGCCTCAACACCATCGATGATCGAGAGGCACTATCGATGGTAAACATGATAGAAGTACAGTTTTTATGGGGCCTCAACACCATCGATGATCGAGAGGCACTATCGATGGTAAACATGATAGAAGTACAGTTTTTAGATTTAATCTTAGTCATTAATTATTTTATATATCTCCTATATCTACCAAATTTTGGATATCTTTTTCCTAACTTATTAGGTAATATATATTATTGAGATAGAATGAGAGGGAGGGGGGTGGGAGAGAGAGAGAGAGGAGGAGGAGGAGAGCTCTAGGGTTTTGATTTGTGAGGGGTTTCATTAATTTGAACCCTGGAGCCTCGATAAACTCTCACTCATCGTGCAAAATATCTTCATATCTTTTCAGCAAGGAGAGTTGCCCTTAGCTTGATTTTCTATATCGTTCTACATCGAGTTACTCTTATATTCATCGAAGGATGGTTTATTTAACAAAAGGGCTGTAAGATCTTTCTTGATTTTTTAAGCTTTAACTGTTTGTATTGGTTTTTCTATGAACTTATTTTTATGATGTACTCAATCTGGACTTATTGAGGGTAGGGACTAGATAGGGCTAGGTATTATTACTCATTGTGGAGAGTTAGGCTAGACAACTAGTTTCAGATAAATTCCAGGAGGCGATATTATAAGTCTAATGAATTGGGGTTTCTGATTCAGGAGAATTCGTTGCATAGTGAGGAAGCCCCTTCCAAGAAGGAAGGATGGACATAGAATAGTTATCTGAACCACTATAAAACCTTGTGTGTTCCTAATTAATTTCTATTTTTGTTTGATTATCGTTGATCACTTTTATTTTATATTTTATATATATATATAGTTATTTTTAAAATAATGCAAATTGCATTCAACGAAATGATGGGCTGCCAAAATGATGTACACCATAGTCAATGAAGGTGATTTAATGAACTTTGAAAATAAAGCATTTTGATCTATATTGAAATGTAGATTTCTGATGCTCCTTTCCACCCGGTCCCTTCAATATCGTGTCGCTTTGGTTGGTGAAAGTTACGTACGCAGCCAACCCTAGGCCTTCAGACTCGTTGGACTTGAGATGACATTCTCTTATACCGTTTTCAAACCTTTTCCACTTTCTTTAATTTATTTTCATTTTTTGGTATGCAAAACATTCTCTTATACCGTTTTCAAACCTTTTCCACTTTCTTTAATTTATTTTCATTTTTTGGTATGCAAATTCGTGCCATATCTTGACAAACCCGCTGTCGATCTTTGAAATATCGAACAACTGTGCCCGGCCATTTGCGAAGCACACCTACCATTTTCAAAATACTCTATAAGAGGCCAACCCATATGCTCAAGTCTTTGCACATCCATCACTCACGAAGAGAACTAATATTCAATCATAGTACTAATACAACAGATAACTAGGGGGAAATGAGTTCTGGAAGCTGGATCCACGAGGTCGCAGCCAATGTCCCCGCAGGGCGACTGTTTAAGGCCGCGATGTTGGACTGGCACAACCTCGGCCCTAAGATTGTCCCGGATTTCATCGCCATTGGTTCTGTGGTCTCAGGAGAGGGAGCTGTTGGAAGCATCAGAGAGATCAAGATCAGCAACAATGGTTAGAACTTTTCAATATTTCTATGTACATCTATGTACCATTATTATGCCTTCAGTATTGGTAATTGCTATTTCTTAAGAGTACAAACTTATAACTTTCGACCTCGCCGTAACTTAGTTTGCAGTTCTAGAGTACTAGAAGAAACTTTGAACATGGTGTAAGATCAACTCAAGTTCACCTAACACGAGCTTAAAGATTTTAAAAACATGCCATGTTAGAGTATAAATGTATAACACTCAATTTTTACTATAGTTTTGATGTTGTCTGAATTTTATGTTGTAAAATCTTTCTAGAGACCCGAGTGTGTATCATGTTCTCATTCTTTTCTTTTCTTCATTTGTATGTTGTAGCACTTCCTTTCAGCTACATGAAGGAACGCCTAGATTTCATCGACCATGACAAGTTCGAAGTCAAGAACACCCTTGTTGAAGGCGGAGGTTTGGGAAAAAAGTTTGAGTCAGCCACATCCCACTTCAAGTTCGAGCCATCGGGCAATGCAGGATGCATCGTCAAGGTGACCGCGACCTACAAGCTTCTCCCTGGTATTGCCGATGAGAGTGCAAAAGCAAAGGAGGGCATGACCAACCACATCAAGGCAGCTGAAGCTTACCTCCTCGCCAACCCAACTGCCTACACTTAAATTAATCATATGCTTAGGTTTCTGTTTTGATGTTGTGATCAGTTTGAATAAGGAGACCAATCGGAGTAGGGTTGTTGATGATTATATTGAGTACTGTATGAGTCCGTCAGTTGTGATATGGTGTGTTGAATCATGCTTATTTGCTTCATAATTATGATAAATATATATTTCTCGTCAGACGGAACCTCTTCAGTATCTTATGAATGGTTCTTCTCGGTATAGGGATATAAAAAGTTTCGCTAGTTATAACCTTTGTGTATATTAATTTGACACAGCACTGAAGCAAAAGTTTGGAGTCCAAAAAATCCAATAAGAAAAAAAAATTTCTCTAACCCAAAAAAAAGATAACTTCTAATCCACGTAGTAATATAAAAGAGGAAGTTTATTATTAAAAAGATGTTATAAGCTAGAAAATTAACAAGTACAAATTTTCCTAGAGAAACCGACACGTGTATTACTCCTTACCTAAATTACACGACTCAAAACTACTTCCACGGCTGTACCTATGGGCCGACAACTTGTGTTCTAGTCAAAAGACGGTACTTGTCAGCCACCCTACTCGACTGATCCTATGGGTCGATAACTTGTGTGGCCAAGTCAAAAGTCTTCTATTTCTTTCGCACTTCAAATCAGAACACCTGCACTCCCAATTGGATGCCTTCATGATCCTCACTATCTTCTGCTTCGCCGTGATGCCTCCACCTACATCGCTCGTCTCAAATCATATCGGTGCACCTCTCCTACTCTACACTACGAGCTGGATGTCTTTATCTCCTCCATCACTTGGCTTGGACTGAATATGAGCGCTCATCGTCTTCAAGTCCAATGTCATCATCTTCATTACCCTATGTGTCACTCGGTCATGCCAGCTTGCAAGCTCCACCTAATTTGGCACTGTCCTCCTCAAGTATACACACCAACCAACTTCTGCTTCTTATCTACCATCAGATTTGTCTTGCCGTTAAATAGCGGAATATCAAACTTCGGACCCGAAGAAGTCATCATCCTCTAATAAAAATTCAAATTAGTCATCATAGAGTTTGAATTTGATAAAACCAATGCCAAAAATAAACTCAGCACGTCAAAAAACCATAGGAACGACTCCTGGATCACCAAAATCCGCCTCCAAATCCTCAATCGGCTAACAAATCAATCTGGACCGTCGGATCCCCATGTGAACAGTGCCCGTTGTGCTACAGTAACCTTTCCCTTTTTTTCAATTCTTGATTCTTGTAACGCTGATTTTCAATCTTACACGACGTCGTCTTCTATCTTGCAAACTCGCTCCCGGATCCATCATCATCGCTCTGATACCACTTGTTAGGGAATTTCAGTCTCCCCGCCTACCACGATATGCGCAACTCGGAAGCCAACCCCAATCAATAAGATAAAACAACCACAATCAAGAAAAAGAACACCGACATTTACGTGGTTCGGTCGACCAACTTCGACCTACGTCCACAGGGCAACAATACGAGAAATTCACTATGTATCAGGGAGAACTACAAGAGGAACCACTCAACTCTCGTCTGTCAATCTCTCAACCTCACATATATAATCAACTCTCATATTCTCTCCAAAGCCCACTCCTTGTAATCTTTTGCACGGATAAAGACTACGAAACCCTGTCTCTCTCTCTCATCTACTACATCTCTACTTTTTCTTCATCATTTTCCTCCACCAATAAAAGAATATATATAGGGTAACCAAAACCCTATCTCTAGCCTAACTTCCTAATTAGAATAAGATTCAAACTCCCAATCATGATGGAACTCAAACTCCTAATCATGATAGAACTCAAACTCCTAATCATGATAGAACCCAAACTCCTAATCATGATAAACTCCTAATCATGATAGAACCCAAACTCCTAATCATGATAGAACTCTAACCCTATCTAATTCTCATGAAGTTAATGATAGAACTCTAACCCTATCTAATTCTCATGAAGTTACACAAAGAATCAAAGACAAAATCCCAACATATCCTTTCGGTCCAAATTTATGAGATATCATGAGAAGATATAACAGCTTAGAGAGATTTTATGATTCACGAAATGTTAGAAATGATTTTAAGTATTCATAAGTTATTTGTTAGTAACACGTTTTATTCAAGGTTTTTCTTTCACCTACTTATATGAAAATTATCATATATTTGTTGAGAAATAACGGGGGCTATGCTAAATCCCTAAAACAGCAAGAAAACACAGTAGAGAAAAGTATACCAAGATTTACGAGGTTTGGTAAACTTGTCAAAACAATTAATTTCTTATTAATCAAAGAAATTACAATGCAAAAGCAGATCTCAAACTTGAGATCTCTCAATAAATACAAAAATAACATTGTAGCTATAGTGAAATCTCTCTTCTTAAATCCCCTCTTTAATTCTCCCCTAAAAATCTCGACTGAGAGCTAAAAAAACTTGAGACAAGTAGAGAGAAAGTGTCACCGCCGCCAGGAAGAAAAGTTCATGAGAAAGAGAAGAGAAGCACATCGGAGATCTCGGTTCCAGGTTCCCTTTTATAAGGGAACCCTAACGACAGGCTGTCGCCAGCCATGCGTGCGCTCGAGCTCACCTGCAGAGCCGCACTCGGCCTCGCCTAAAGATGAGCGCTCGAGCTCGTCTGACTGGATCCTCGAGCTCACATGCACCTCACCCGCTCGCCTGTGGAGCTGCGTCGCCTCGAGCTCGTCTGACTGGATCTCTGGATCTGGAGTCAGACCTTGCTTGCAGCCACGACCTCACCTAAAGGTCTTGAGCTCGACTGCAGCTGCGTCGACTTCGAGCTCACCTGCGGAGGTTTAGATCCAAACCCAAATCCAACAATCTTATCATAATTGGCCGTTTTTTGATTGATGTATAATTTGATGGTTGTATTTTATCTCCTCCTTCTGATGAAAAAGATCGTGGCTCCGCCACTGAAAGCAGGCTAATCGAACGATGGGCTTTATTCCAATTGAGTCGTCCAACTAATAATAGATGGCTAATTAATGAGATTAGCATATGAACCACTTTGCTTATGAGAACAGAGCCACATCTTCCGCAAATGTGGCATCATGTGCATAAGGGAGCTCTAGCCCATGCGATATAACGTAAAATAATGTACGCTCCATTTTGAGCAAACAAAGGCCCATTGAAACATAGGCTTCGATACCAATTTATAAGGGTTGAAAAGGCATATTAGGAAGATGATCTTGGTTAACTATTTGGTCATAATTGACTCAAAAACATTAATCATATTTCAGTCATGAGTCCAAGTATATTTAACCATATATCCATCTTACTCGATTTTTTACTAAAAATAAATAAATGTAAGATGCTCTAAAAAATGTAGATATTCTAACATGCTGGCTGATTGACCTCGCTTTTTCAAAAGCATAGACTCGTAGTGAGCGGTATCAATTTTTTTTTTAAAATCAACTCTAGATTTGTGGCAACCTAGGTTCAAATTAGGTTGTTCAGATGTCATCTTAAATCTGTCATTATATCAAAACTCTAAAATTATGGTGAGAATTGATCGAGGGTTTTAATTTTATATTCTAACGTACAGTACATGTATATAACCTCAAAAATCTAATATAATAGAGTCCATTAGACATGGATCTACAGATGGTTAAATGCTCAAGTGCCTTCTTTGCCAACATCTCTTTCAGCTAGCCTCCATCTAGAAGGTGCATTGATGTGCCTGCAGCTATTGTCAAAGAACTACAGAAGATAATAGATATGATTGCGAAATTAGTCAAGAAAAAGGAATCCTAGAAATTACCTCCTGACCTTGTGTGTGGTTCTTTGACTTTCATTATCTACTTTGATTCTACCTTGTTTTTCCTTTCATTATCCTAAGCTGTTCATTCTTAATTTAGTTATGATCTATTATGGAAATAAATAATTCTTAATTTTTCTTCAAATATGTGAAGTCGTGTGAGGAATGCACACTATGCGTAAGCTAGTTTGGTTTAATAAGAATCTCCGTATGCGAAAGTTGTTAATTCAGTCAAATGTATATGTATTACCTTTTTCCAACAAAATCTAACCTATGCTTGTATTTTGCCATGAACTTCGTGTCTACATTCGATCAGCGGGACGAACTAGCTTCCCTCTTGACAATAAGAGTGGGGAAAGAATATCAAAATGCTAAATTCTAGAAGCCTACTACAAGTCGAAAAGCAAATCATATTTTCCCCACAGCACATGTTGAAATATTGACTTTTCTTCAAAGATAAACCGTTCTCCCTGTTTTCCTCATTAAGGTGTCAGATGCAGCCAACCTTCACGTTGGATGGGCATGCACCCTTTTTAGAATTAGAGAAAATCTTTGAAACATTGGCACCCATCCTAATTAATTTGGTGACCACCTACCATTTCCAAAACTCTATATATAAAACGCCCAATCTCGCCCAGCTCTTTACACGTCCATCTCTCAAATAGGCAAACCAAACATTCATTGCTAGTACGTAACAGCGGATAGGAAAACATGAGTTCGGGAAGCTGGAGCCACGAGGTCGCTGCCAATGTCCCCGCAGGGAGGCTGTTCAAGGCTGCAATGCTGGACTGGCACAACCTCGGCCCTAAGATTGCGCCCGATTTCATCGCCAGTGGTTCTGTGGTGTCTGGAGATGGAGCTGTTGGAGCCGTCCGAGAGATCAAGATTAACAACCCCGGTAAGAATTCTAACCTATTAATTATGTGTATTTGGTTACGCTTTTCTCTTAAATTTTGTATTACATTTTTAGGTCCACTTTACTCGGTCGCTAATCTACTTGGACCCAGTTGACTCAAAAGAATTAATCCTTATTGAGCCATGAGTACATGCATACTTCACCATCCATCCATCTTACTCTATATCCTATGCATGACTAAATTTCACACTCATGCAACAACAGAATCTCGTAGCATCGAGAGTATCCAACAAACGGCCCCTTGAACCTTCGGCTGTGGTACCAATTTGTTATGGCTTTTATAAAGGCCCATTGATAATCTACTTGGACATAATTAACTCA